TTTTCCATCCACGCAGAGCTGTGGGGGTAAGGGATGTAATTTTAAAGTCTGCCATGAAAATTGCTGCCTGCTGACCCAGTGGTCACCACCAGCCTCATTAAAGGCAACCATCCCTGTCCCCAAGCTTTCCTTCTGGCACTTTTCCTACAGATTTCATGGCAAAGCTCAGCCAAGCAGACATAACAGCATGGAGAGCTCTGTTAGCATGGATAATGCAAACTTGCCCTGAGCTTTATTTACACGTTGCTGGGCCAGATTTCGGGGAATCAGGAGTTTAGCGTTTAGATTTTATCTATGCTACAGCTCAGCTGAAACAACCAAATCTAGTGTGTGTGCAATGACCTCAACCCAACATTAGGCTTAAGACAAACATCTAATAACAGGACATCACATGTTAGTTAGTGAACTTTAGAGAACTTGACTGAACTTGGTAGGTCATCTCAACCCCTGCATTCGGTTCCCTTTGGAAACTGAATGGTGAGGAAAAGTCCCAGATAGATGTTAACTTTTTCACCCCAAATCCAAGAAGGCCTGACCCACCCCAGCCTTGGCTCAGCACTCACACATGGTGCTGGGTGATGTCTTCTATCAGTGCAGGGGGGGTGCAGGTTTCAGCATCCCCTCCCTCCTCTCCATGCCCCACAAAATCTCTCTGCACCCCCTCCCTTACAACCCTACAATATCCCTCGATATTGCCCCGTCCCCCCACAGTCTCACAGACATGTTCTTGCATCCTCCCACATCCTGCTCCATGTTCCCTACAACCCCTCCAGCCCTCATACCTCCCTTCCATCCTCCCTGCATCCCCCTCCAGCCTCCTCACCGCCCAGCCCCACATCCCCCCCACCCCTGCATCCTGCATCCCCTCCACATCCCTCAGTATCACTCCCTCCACATACCCCTGTGTCCTTCCACAGCCCCCTGCATCCCTAATCCTCCATCATCCCACATCCCCCCCACACCTCACAGCCCCCCACATTTCCTCTTGAATTCCCCCCTCCATTCCCCATCAAACCCTCTCCATCCCACTGAACTCTCCCATCCACATCCCCACTCCACCCCCTCCACACTTCCCACCCCCTAGGGGGGAAAAAGCAGCATCAAGTCTGTGCTTTAGGTTTTTTTTTTTTTTTTTTTTTTTTTTGGAAAGGTGCCCAAAAAACAAAT